TTGGAGGTGAAATGAGGATCAGGAGCTTCCGATGCACGCAATCAAAACCGCAACAATGCGGCCCATATGCTCCGCCATCTTCGCCTGCTTTCTGCCAGGCGAGAGGCGAACAATACACCCAAGAATCCTTCGACGGTGTTGTGCGAGTTCTCTCTACAGCGGTTACACAGGACGTAATCACAATTTCTGGTTATCGGACTGTTTTAAAGTCGGGACATATCTACACCTATTCCCACTTGCTCAAGCCCGCTGTCATCGAGGGTATCACCAACAAACAGTGGAATGAGGTCTCCCATGGCTCCAAAAGACAAGACGACAGGTGGAGGGCAACCTGAATACATCAAAGACGGTGGGTCGAGCCGTAAATGCTGCCACTCTTGATTCGGGAAGTTGATTGATGTGACGAGAGGAGATTTGTCCTCGCAACCAAAGCGCGATTTTGATTGTCCTTTTTACATAATTATGCCAAGCTATGCTATCCCCGGGTGGGTTCAATACCAAAATTCATCAACTGCTAACTTTGCTACTATTGCCGACTGTAATATTCTACTTAACCTTCCGAGTAGTTACAATCCAATACTGTGATCAAAATATGGTCCTCCTTTAAGAATCTCCGAGATAGATGTAATCATAGTAAGTATATATAAGAGCTTATTCTAACTAGTCAATTTTATGCTACTTACTAATTGGAGTATGATTGGTAATATATTGTACCATTTAAAGAAGTATAATGAGGGTAAAGGATAGCTTATCTTCTCTGTGTCCAACAAGGCGCTGGCTGACAACAGCTCTCACATGGCGTTGACCATACGGGTGTGTTGACCCTTCGACTCTCGCTTTCGCGCCCTACAGCTCTATAATCTGCTGGAAACATAGGCCGGCTTTGGGAGCAGTATTGCTCCTGGAAAGTTAAGTAACGCACCACAGGTCCTCCGAGGACCGACGGACATGTCTCTGGGATCAGTGGGATCAGTACTCCATATTGTCTTCATTGTTCTAAATGCACGATCATATCTCCTTTTTCTATGTGCTAGTTTTCCGGTAGTCTGTGTTCGAAATCTACTGTACTCCTTTTAGGAGGAAGCCTTCTCATGGTCTGTGAAGAATGATCTTTTTTGTGTGAAGCTTAGGAGAGAACAGATTTCCCGCTAGGCGAGAGGTGACAAGACAGCTTGCACGAAAAGCTCCCGAGGCGTAAAGAGTCCGTACAGGTGTGCTGAGCATGACTCAAGAAACAGCGGCTATCTTTGGCAGACGCCACATAAAAGAGTTCCATTCTTATCCATTAACAAATGATGGCGAATTTCCTTTCATGGCTAGTGCTCTCATTTATTCTCCTCTGTTTCAGATAATCTTTGTTGCCAGTTTCTAAGCGCGCTGCTCAGGGAATGGCGTTCATCATAGTTTGGGTCGGTCTCGGAGACGAAATACCTGTCAGTTTTTATCTCATTCGCAAATGTACCCCACCAATCCTCTGGAAAAGGAGGTTCCTTGGATATGTTAGCATTCAAAGGGTGCGTCTATTGGATTGTAGGATTCACAGCATGATGTACATACCTGCACACCGACTCGGACCATCCATCGTCTAACATATTCTTGCAAGATGCATAATTCCATACGTCCAGGGAAATATTGCATATCGGGCAGAAATCGTGAGGCATACGCCAGAGATGATAAGTTCAAGAGTTCTTCAAAGCAGTCTATGTGATAGAAGCCTGTCATAAGATTCTGTTTCAGCCTCAAGAAAATGATAACGGGGTGAATCAGAAAATTTACCTGAAGGGGAATACCTCCAACGACCCCCATCCAATTTAATTCGATAGTCACCAGGCCAAATCCTCGTTTCACAGCGAGGAAGCTGGCATTTTGCTCCTCCGTGGGATTCCGGCGCCTTCTGAAGCAAGAAGACGGCGTAGGGACGCGGTGAGTATGGACCAAGATACGTCTTTACAAGGCTCTCAAGTGCTTGAGCTTTAGCCTGAGCATCTTCTTGACGCCTCTCTGCAGGCGAAAGGCCTGTCGGCGCTTTTCCTCCGCATCAATATCTTTTTCGCTTCTGCTGAGCCACTCCCGTTCCTCGTCTGAGCCGATGGAGGCAACATCGCGGTCAAGTAATCGAGCAATATTCTTCCGGAGATTCTGCTTGCTTTTTTTGAGCGCAAGGTCCATTCTTTTCTCTTTCTGAATTTTCTTTCGAGCTTCTCGTTCGAATGTGTCCTTGTCACCAACTCGCGGGGAATCTGTCCTAGGTAGAGGCCTTGTTACCAACACGTTAGTAGATGGCGATGGGAAGAGCTGTCTATTAGAAGGCAGCTCTACTAGGCTGTGCTCGTCAGACCGTTGAGTGCTTCCCTCGCGTTCACATCGGTCTTGGCTTGGTGTTGAGGTTTGCGCTTCTGAGAGGGGTCTCCCACTGTTCGTTGAGAACATGGCTTGCCTAGTTTCGGTCGCGTTGTCTCTTTCGATATTTTGCGGCGGCTCGGAGACAACCAGCGAGTCATACGTCTCTGGACCAACTGGGCGCTCCATTTTGTTAGGAAGTGAAAAAGTAGCAGGTGGGAGAAATCAAGCAAAGTGTTTCCACTGCAAATTGAGGCTATCAATTACAAGGATTAACGAGTTAACACTAGTACTAGTGCCCCCAAAAGCAGACAAAGAGGGGAACGAACGACGTGGTTCCAATGAAAAATAACAAAACGAGAAAATTATGCCAAAGGAAAGGTCCGGAATATGGCAAATCCTTATCCATGACCTTGGATACATGTATTATTGTCTGGGCTATAATCGTGCACCAACCGGTGTTGGTGCAGGTGCCTACATGTGTGTAATGCGGTGAGGCCCCGCTTCTCTAATTACATTTTACATTTTCAAAGGAATGCCTGCGAGGGAAATTTCTTTGGTGCAGTCACCTCCGTCAGAGGGGCCCAAATGACGCGACCCTGATGCCCGGACTGATTCCAGCATTTCATCGCGATAAGCTCCCATCAAATCTTCCAAGGCTCTAGTCGCCTTCGTACCACGAATCTGCGTGATGGTATCGGCTAATTTGAGCCCATCCCTCATCGCCTGAACACCACCTTCACCAGGGTCTACGGCGTTAGTACATCCATACTGTATTTATAAGAGGCGGTTGGAAGGTGGGAATGGTGAGGGTGGAAACGCACATGGCGGCATGCCATGCGCAGCATCAGCAAGAAGCGTGACTCTGCCGGGTCGCAGACTATACTTACCGATCTCAAAAGGACTGGTCACATATGGAGGCCAAGCAATCCCCTCTGGCGGGGTGAGCCCCACAATCTCGCCGAACTGACGCTGCAATCTCTCCATCGCTTTACGTGACATTTCCAGAAACTCTTCTTTGGAGATATCGGTGGCCTTCCTATCAGGAAGCTTAAAGTCCGGAATGTCACTCAATAGGTACCAGAAATAAATTCCGCTGCGGCAATCTGGATTGACTTGCCCAAGACCCGTGAACAGAGCTACCCCTGGACCGGAGCTATCAGAAGGCGTGGCCACGTGCCAGATACCATGGCTGAGTGACAGCTATCGCTCAAACGCTTCGTGACACACTTCCAGCTGGGCGTGCAAGGTCTCACCGTGCAGGGTTCTCAGGGGGTCTGGAAGCAAGATCTTCCGCACCGCGCTGTGCATACCATCGACCCCGATGAGGATTTTACCGGTGGCCGATGCGTCGTCCGCAAAGCCCAGCCTCACAGTACCCGCTTGTACGTCCTCATCGAATGAGATGACCTGCTTGCCCCATTGAATTGTTGACCCCGGCCCGTTCTCAACCAGTTATACAGGCGCTTGCGGTCAGCGCGGAGGGTAGACCGATCGCGTCTGCCTATGACGTCGACACGAGAGCCATCGGCGTTGTTATAGTACATCGCCGTTGGGGGCAAGTCAAAAGGCTGGAAGTGATCCACCACTTCGACAGGAGACATGTCCGGGGACACATTGGCCATAAGGTCCTTGAGGACGCTAGAGAGACGGCGGATGAGCATTTTGCCCAGAAGGCATGACGGGTCTCTGATGGCTTCCGATGGCTTTAAAGCGGTCTTACCTATGGAGACCAATGCCCCATCCTTGAGCGCGGGCGTATTGAGCATCCCTCTCGAAAACTTCAAACGAGATACCTCGGTTGCGTAGCACCTGCGCGAGAGTGAGACCGCCTAAGCCGACACCCACAATAAGGACATGCGGATTCACCTGCAAAGCCATCTTTCTCGTCACGGTGTCTGTCTAGTTGATACTTTAAGAAGTCGAATGTGCCGGAGGGCTGAGGTCTTGTGAATGAGAGACCTGAGAACTCCTTGAATATGTCCCCTGCGATACACATTCTCTTGATGACGGCTGGCAACCAAGTGTCCCGACTACCGACCAAAAGCTTCGGCTCCGTAGGTCATCCCTCGGACTTGCGATTGACGAACGGCCGACATGACCGACGGTCTTAAGTTAGCCCCTATAAGAGGGGGCGAGCTCCTTGGCGCTTGGAGAGGGGTGAGCCGAGATCACTTATTGGTATGATCTATGATCTTCAGAATTTTCAGTGGAGAGCAATGTTCGGTGCCGACCATAACCCAAATGGGCGAAACATCCATTTCCTCGGTCTGATTCCAAAGCGCCCGGATTGCGCAGAGATTGCCTCGCAATCCATTGTTGTCATGCGGCAAAACCATGCTCTCAGGCCATCAGTCACTCCCCGCCGCTGGGTTAACATCCAAAGGTATGTCCCGCACATAGACATGATAACTTCGGGCTCGAGCGTTAGCTGCCAGCTACCGTATTAATCAGGAAGTGTCTTGCAAAGCCGCACATTATAATCCACTATCTGGTAAGGTCGCTATCGTCACCGGTGCGTCCCGGGGCGTTGGCAGGGGAGCCGCGGAGTGCCTTGCCGCCGATGGCGCCTCAGTGGTCGTCAACTATAATCGTGAGAGCGCCGCTGCTGATGAAGTGGTGCAATCTATCGGCCTTGAACGGCAGCTGATGTTGGCAGCATGGCCGGAGTTGACAAGCTGATAAGCGCAAATGTCGAACGATTCGGCAAAATTGATATTCTCCTGCTCGACGCGGGCATCCAGTTCTTAAACCCTTTCAACATAGTGACCGAGGAGGACTATGATGCCCAGTTCAATTTGAACGTCAAGGGACCCTTTTTCCTGGTGCAGGTGAGCTAAATTAAGACAGTCTGAACAAACGGAACACTCTTGCGTCTAATACAGCGCAGAAATCAGAGCCTCATATAACCTGGCGACAGGGTAATGTTTATTTTCCTCCGGGAGTGAACATATGGACGACCGTAACGACACAGCACCTGGGAATGTGTATGTAGTGACTAAGGGGGATGCCGAGCAGGCCACAAGCTCCCTGTGCAAGGCACTGGGGCTGAAAGGTATCGCGGTCAACACTATCGCTCCGGGAGCAACGGCCACAGACCTGTTGTTGGTAGGGAAAAGCGAGGACGTGCTTAGTGAAATTGCTGCTCGGAGCCCGTTCAATCGCCTCGGTACCCCTAATGACGTTGCTAGTCTCGTGGCGTTTCTGGCGTCCGAGGAATCAAGATGGGTGTCTGGTCAGACTATCCGTGTGAATTGTAGCACTATGGTGTGAGACTGAAGATAGAAACTCGACAGTCCATTTACTTCTGGCCTCCCTGCACTTTAGTCATAATTACCCGACGACTGGAGAGTGTCAATTCAAGACTTTTATGTAAATGAACTTGAACTTGCTCCATGCAAAGCTAGTAAATGTATCTCGACAGACATCTGGTGCCGATTTTGTTCCTTTCCCATCGACGAGGAAGAGATACAGTAATAGGTTGAAGCTAGTATTCAAGCTAAGATAAAGAAAGAATCGATGTCTCAGCCATGAAATAAGGTTAAACCTGTGTATTCCTAGGCATTTTCCCATATTGGGGTTTGCTTCTCTGGTACCTAAGGAAAAAGGAACAGCATGAAATGAAATTGATTAGATTGTGTATCATTTTTCACAAAATCCAATGAGTACAGTGATATCTTCCGTCTCTATACCTATTAGTAGTGACACTGAAGTGTTCACCAGAATATTATGCCAAGCCCTCTTATCCCTGGGGACACCCTTGGATATTATTCTTGCTCGTATCCATGGATGGAATATACTGTACTAAGGTGATTTTTTTTTGGCTGAGGCTAGATAGATGATAATGGGCATCATATAGTGTTCGTTTCAGCCGATCCTAGTTGGATGTACGGAGTACCCCGCGAGCTAATCATAGTTATTATTTCATCCGTGTCACTAGGTCAAAATGAGGCCGAATTTGAATCAGGTTAAATTGAAATGTCTTACGTCGGTAAGGGAGAAGACACGCGGTTAATTAGGGTTGTACTCCGTAGTAGTGTTTAAATACAATCCCACAGTGCGGAAGCTTCGGCGCAACCATGGATCCAAAATAGATTCGATACTCAATTTTGATGTCCAGTTTCTCAATCAGGCCATGTCATATACGTCACTGTCCTAATAACTTGTAGAATATGTAGACTTGGAATAATCTAGAAAACCAAAATAACAGAAAACCATAACACCAGAATACCAGAATATCAGAAAAGGAGAAAAGGAGAAACAAGGGGTCACCGGCGATGACCAGCAATGATGAGCAATGTCAGATTCCTCACAAATGCAACACCCTAAAACCACCCGATACTCAATCAAGGCAAGCGGCAAACCAGAAACACGCGAACCCTTCCTCCAGTTCATCCCATTGACTCTTCGGGCTCCATCCGCCGTCATTGGGCGCTCAAAATGGAAACAAGTCGCCACACCTGGGGATGCCGATCGGGCGATCGCCAGCTCGCAAGCCAATGAGGGCGATGAAGCCCCGGTGCGAGTTCAATAGAGCATGTCGCTTAGTGTTTCAGGATGATCATTTGCTACTTTCAGTGGATCAATTGGACACTGAAGTCATCAGTCCCCAGCCTTGACTCCACAGAAAAACATTCGAAAAAATGGAACCCGACAGGTGTGTTCCTGACAAACAAACGGCCACTTTAAAGAAGCTTGACAGGACCCTTTTTTTCTTTCTCCCTGTTAGCTCCGCCTTGTCGAACATCTCCCTCTTTTGCATATTCTTTCCTTGAATTCTCAAATCTCCTCTCTCTTATCAAGAAATTCCCACTCTTTAATTCGTTGATCGGATACCCCGCCTACCAATCATGTATACCAACTACATTTTCTCGGCTCTTGCCCTGGCTCTGCCTGTATACTCGCTTAGTGCCACCGCTAGTATGGGCTGCTACTCCGAAGTCGAATCATTCAAGAACCAGGGCCCCTACACCTATCAATCACCAGGACATTGCCAGGCCCAATGCGCAGAGAATGGTTTCAAGGTCGCTGCTCTGAGCCGTGGCAACATGTGCTACTGCGGCAACAAAATGCCCTCGGACTCCGCTAAGATCGCCGACGATAAATGCGACGTGCCCTGCTCCGGATGGCCTGCAGGAAGCTGTGAGTTACCCACAATATTATATACAGCACGGCAACAAGATCACGACTGACAGCCTATTTCTTATGTAGGCGGCGGCAAGGATACCTTCAACATCATTCAGGCGACTGAGAACCTGCAAGCCTCTGCATCCGAAAATGCCTCCACTACTATTGCTCCCACTGCTGCCACCGCAGCTGGTGGAATCATTGTCGCGCCCTCGACAACTAGCACACAAACCGGCATTGTGACTGCGGCATCAACTGTGAAACCTAAGAGTGGCAACGTTTTATCCAAGTCTGCTGCTGGCTCTGGCTCTGTCGCAACTGCCTCACCTACGCCCACGAATAACGCTGCTGGAATAGTCCGCGCGGGATCATCTTTGCTCGGCGCTGTTGTCGTGGGTATGGGCTTGCTTCTATGAAGCCCCTAGCCTTCGCGTCTTGTGATTGGAGCTGCATATACTGTCGTTTTAAGTTCCACGTATCCTACATTGCATGTACAGTTATACCCCTCGCTGGTTCGTCAACAGGGCGTTCGTGATATAGGGGATAATACCCTGTTCTTTTTCCTGTCTCTTGCACTGGATCCGCTGGTCGAATTTGGGATGCATTTACTGCCTGTCTTGGGATGGGTATTCTCTACACTCGTTTTTACTTTTGGTGTTGCATGAACAAACTAGTTTAGCATTCACTATTTATTACCGGATGGACTTCGATATCCTTTTCGGGGAATTCAAGATTTTGCCAATGAAATTGCCTCATCTAGGGAGCAACCTAGGTCCGATGCTGCCCAGGCCACTGTTCAAAGACCCTAACGTGATAGCAATGTATTTCCTCTTGTGCGCGACTTTCTAAGGGCTAAGCCGACGCTACGTTCCTCTACTTCCTTCTGTTACTCGAGTTTACTTGCGACCTTGACTGTAATAACTAGGGTATTCATACGTTCAATATTCATCTATACATTGTCCAGTTGTGCTTCTACTGAGCTGGAGGGCACTAGATTCGGTTCTCCAGCACCTATACATCTGCTGACCTGCTAGAGACTCATACCACAACCTGCTATGCCAGAGCAGAAGCTTTTGCCTTTCGATCTTGTCTGGGTAGCCATGGTGCCACTCGCGCATGCACCTTGCGCAAGCCCGACGCCCTGTGTTCCGCTCATACAGTTGCCCGCCACGCCGGCCGTGATATTCACGCAGGCTGGATTGCAGGGGTATATTTCACGATGGATATCTGGATCCCGCGCGTAGGGGCCATAGCTGGTCTTCCGTGATGGGTCTTCGTGGGCACTACCACCGCCTCTGCTGCGACTGCGACTGTGTGATCGTCGCTGCGCTTTCTCCCAGCACGATTCAAGCTGGGCAGTCTTGGTCTGCATTGCCTTTGGATCAGCCTGGGCCAGGATGCGAACTGCGTTATGGGACGAAATATGCGACTCTTTGCTTTTACCCCCGCCGGTGGAATTGTCGGCACTGCTGTGAAGAAGAGCAGCGTTGGTCTTGGCATGGAGGGCGGATGGAATCAACCTCCCAAGTCCCTGGTTGTTGGACTCACGTACTGCTTCGCAATACCAGCATGTGCATTCACTGTATATTTTTCCGCCAGTGAGCTTTTGGTATTGTCTTGAGGTCCATGCGAAGGCATCGTTGAGCTTTATTTCGTCGATTTTGTCATCATGATTAATGAATACTCCCTCCATCTGCGCAGTAGAGAAGGTGTAATAGCGAATGGGAGAGAGCTGGTGCGTGTGCCAAATCAGGTCGACATCGAGAGTGGGGACAACAGCATGGCCTTTATTCTTGACCATTATTTGGAAGAACACGTCGTACTTGCCGATGAAGTGGCCCATGGTCGATCTCAGGTTTGGCGAATGCATCCAACCGATATTGTCCATCTTGTCCACAAATGTCCCTTGGCGTATGACCGCCCCGACCAAGTCGATGGCGAACGGGGATGAATTGTCCCAATATCTCGAGAGCATATTGCGAAGAGATATCCTCTCTGGCATACTTGAATTCCCAGAAGCCAGTATTGTCTTGTTCACGCGACGCATTAGCGAACGACTTTTCAGATATCCCTCGAGGTGGTCGCGGATTGTTTCAATGGTGGTGCGTTCATTTTCAGTGAGATCAGTAAGCTGCAGGAGCTCGCTTCTGATGCCTTCCTTAATAAGCCGGTTTGGGAAAGACACGTTATCGCCATTTTCATCGTCGGCGGGAGTGCCATTCTGTGACAAAAGCGTGCCGGGCATAGGCATATCATCTTTCAACAACTTCTGCACATCACTGCGAAACTTCTGTACGCGAAGAGTATCGTGTGTGGTACTGAATTTGCATCCTGGGCATGAAACTCGCAAAGACTTATCCGCATATCCAATGCAGTGTGCAAAAGCGACGTCTGTATGGCATCCAAATGATCCTTCCGTCCAGGCAGCATTGATTTCCTGCTTACACCCGAAGCAAGGCAGAGATTTTGCGGGACTATCGTGAACATTTTCCCAGGAACGACCAGTTCTCGTCTCGAAGTTTATCCTCGCTTCACTGCCTGGGTAGAAGACAAGCGTCTTGTCGTCCATGGATGCGTTTATTACATCCCACGGCAACCCAGTCGCCCAGAAGCTCATTTTAGATTGACGCAGACAATCCTCGAGAAAGGCACGCGGATTAAGCATAAATGCATGCCAGACCATGATGACATCTAGGCGGCAAATTAGAAAAGAAGAAATCAGAGATTCAGAATAGCTAACCAAGTGGTGGCATCACATTAGCAGACCATGCTATTTTGGCATCAGATGAACTATTCAGCTTTGAGATACGACTGGTATTGAGCTTCGGTAGGCAAGTCTGCCACCAAACAGTGAATCGGTCCACAGCTCTGGCCACATAAACAGCCCATCTCTTTTCCTGAATCCGGGCAGCTGCTTGGGCCTGCTTGCGGGGGTCTGAAAAGTTCCTGACTTCACTATCGTGGATTCCGAAGAGTTTGTCCGTTCCTTTAATGAAGTTGCGAAGTTTGGCAATCGTGGATAACAGCTTCAGGTGGGTGATACATTCATCAATGACCACCGTCCCCTCGGATCTAGAGAACCCATCGCAGGACAGTCTGTGTGATGCGCTTGGTTGTCGGTAGGTCGGTGGCTCATCGATAGACTCTGTTATAGAAGAATATGGTGGAGGATTGGATACTACCTCGGTATTCGATACTGCCTCGGCACGCTTGCTGCTGTATTCAAGTTCTGGATTTCCCATTTTTGGAGCGTCAGTGGTAAGAGGAAGGTGCGAAAAGAAAAGATGCGAAAATAGAAAATGCGAAAAGAAAACGGAAATTTAAGGGTTCAACTACCCCGGGAAAGATCATCGCGTTCTACCGTGTGCGCATAACATAGCCACAAGGCCAAGTGGGGATAAGGCTGTAAACGCATGACGCAATGCCAAGAGGCTAATTCTTGGCTTTTATATCTCCAAGGCAGACAGACACCATGAGAATCTTAACCATGTTGTATCTTCAATAAACTCTCCAGCTAGTCAAAATTTTGCATGTGCATTCAAGATATAAGGACATTATTGCAAAAGGATACGATTATCTTCTCATCAGATAATGCTTTCAGAACCCCCTTCGAAAGGACACCCATGTCCGCTCAGCCAGGTGGCAGTGACACCGAAACTCTAATAAAGAATCGAGTAGGTACATCCCTTTCAGGGAAGGAAGACCTAATAATCTATGAACAGATGGAATATCGAACAAACTCCCGAAGTTCAGGTGAAAACCGCTCGGATTATGGCCCCCAAATGTGGGTTAGGCTATTCGTTTCAGACCTGTTCTAGTCATATTGGCTGACATCCATTCAATTGTACACTGAAGACTTGCTATATTATCCTCCATTGCGCTGTGTGCCGAATACACATGCTTTTGTATGTCAAGTTGCTAAGCATATGTGGATGCTGCGCCTGGGTCGATGTATAGTGCGTGAGTTCTTGGTTAAAGAAAGATTTAGGCGGTCAGTCATGTCGTCCAAGTGAAGGGAATCCGATACATAAACATGCATATATCTTCACCTAAAGCACTAATATTCTATTCTAGAGCCCCTGAGTTTGCTATCTTTGTCAGGCCTTAACATTAGTAAGAAATTGGGGGCCAACACGCTTGTTGGTTGTGGTATTATAGTTCTCATCACCTATTATTCTGGGGGCCAAATCCACTACGACCTGCGCCTCTCAAGGTCCCACAGGGAATTCCAGTCCCTGATTGGATAGATAATGGTCGATTGGTAAGGATCTGATGGGGCCAAAACTTCCCCCCAAACTTCCCACCCCTGAGCCTCCAACAGCATCTCCTAAAATGGAAAACGAAAAGCAACCTTCTATCTTTTACTCGAATACTACAGCAGTCGCCTACTCAATAGTAACAGAAAAAGCCACCTCGATCTTCGCATTGGTCTAATTCTCGATCTCATGAAGTCATAAAATTCGCGGCGGAAGTAGGCTTCTTTCTAGATGAACTTGTCCATGCGATCCACAAGGCTGCCCCCAGCGGTGATCTTAGTCAAGCCAAGCTACACAGCCAGTTGTTGAATTCTAGGCGGCTCCCTCTGTTTACCCTTAAACAGACTGGTTTCCACCTTATTACAACATGATAGAAGTCTTTTCTTCAATTATTTTGGATTGCATCTCATTTCGTGACCTCCCCTCATTAAACCACCCAACATGGCCAACGCCTCAGCCTCTGAAACGAGTAAGCCTAGGCTAGGCCTGCGCGCCTTTGCTGTAATTCTGGCTGTTATTACAATGTCACTATTTGGAGCTTTATCCGGCAACACGGGCTGGGTATACTACATTGTCGTACGTGGACCCGTACATTCAAATGTCAAAAACATTCCTTGAGAAGACAGCCTAACCAAGAATCACAGGTCGGCATCCCAGGGATCTGGTCTTTGGTCAACCTCGCCCTAGTCGTCTTCAAGCGGCCTGTTCACCCGGGCGCCCATATTGCTCTGGATCTCATCTTCACAGTTGTTTTGCTGTTTTTCGGAATCGTCAGCCTTCTAGCAGAGCGTGTGTCTCATTACAATGAACGCGCACAACAGCAGTCGTGGTGGGACATGGGCGTCGCTGCTATCTCACTCATGATTATCAATGGGTAAAGGTCTTACCATACAAAGGTTTAATGTATGGCCATGCACTAACACCCCCAATAATAGTTTGCTCCATTTTGTTCACTTTGTCCTGGGTTGCTACGATGTACACCAGAGACGCCATGCTTCATCCGTCGACTACAATCCTCAGAAGGTCCAAGACTCAGCCTAGCCTTGACAGCTTTGACAGCTTCGAAGCACATAAGAAAGGAGCTGACCGGCCAAGTTTGTCCACCAGAATATTTAATTCACTTAGGTTGTACTTATCTGCGTTTTCTCGTTAGTCTTTGAACATATCGATGTAATTAAACTCGAATCAAACACTGGAAATATTTCTATTTCTTGTCCCCATTTAAACTTGCCAGCTAACACAGCCTTCACCGCCGGCCAGGGCACGGGGCGCAGTATGGACGCCAAGCCATTGATAGAGCCTCAATCCCGCGGTGCTCAGCTGTCTGACGCAGATCAATAGAAAGACCATACTATCGGAAATAATCCTGCACGATTCATACGAAGAATAAAGTTGGGTGAAAATTAAATTGATTCATGTGTATATATAGCGTCTTGAAACCCCGTTAGAAACACAAGCATCATTATTCCTCTGAACCACAACATTCATAAAGAAACCCTACTGAATGTGTGCCTTGTATAGTCGAACAATCCGAAAAATTTAACGAGCGACACTATATGGCAAGGAAGATATATTAAGCAAGTGTGTTTAATCCGAAAGCAGCACATGTGATATCTTGAACCGGCATCAAGACCGAAAGAAGGGCATTGGCGGTGAAACACTTGATGGATGGTGTTCTACCAAATCAAAGGTCATGGAAACCCTTGCGAGTCCAGAAATCGATAAACTTCTTGATGAGCTCGGCTGTGAGTTGGGTAAAACGAATATCGTCGCAAGCGCCAATTGCCTTTAGAGTATTCGTACAGTCGTACCTCGGTGAATATTTGCTTGTTTGAAGACGTGTATCACCACGTAGGATGGGCTCTGCAAGCAAAGGCATCAAAGGTAAACAGGGGCTCGATTCAAACCCGTCCCACGCTTGCAACTTCTGCAACCACTCTGCGTATGGAATTTCTTGAACCGAAAAGCCAGCCTGGTTAACAAGTACGCATAACCTTTCCATGTTCGTAATCTGACCTGGGTTTGGCGAACTCAGGGTATAGGCATGGCCAATATTGCGATTGTCTGAAGCTATATGTAGAATCGAATCGCAAACATAGTCGACTGTGACATATTCCAGGTTCTGGTGTGGCAACTGCGGCCAGTATCCCAGTTGGATGCATGTAGCGATCAGTCGACTAAAGAAATCGTCTGGGTTACCCGCCCCTGTTTTACTGTCGCCGACAACGAATCCAGGACGGTAAATGGTCACCGGGAGGCCTTTGTTGCGCACTCTTTGCACCATCTCGTCTGCTACCCACTGGCTCTGGGCATAGCCAGTATCAAAAGGGAGCGAAGCGAGATGAACCTTGAGCGGACCATCCTCGGACACAACTTTTGTTCCGAGTATAAGCCCGGTGACCGCCCAGACGTCGATGCTAGAGATGTAATGGAAGGTCTTTCGCCGCCCTTCTGCTGCGACTCGAAGGACATTCTTGGTGCCAAGGACGTTTTGGGCGAAATGGCCGTTGTAGGAATCACACCAGTTAACCTTCGCAGCTGCATGAAAGACCGCCGGTGCCCAATTAATGAGCCACTCATAGTCACTTTGCGAGAGGCCAAGACGTTCCTGCGTCATATCACCATCCAAGACAATCACTCTCTTTATTTCATGGGAAATGTCTTCGCTCCAGAGGTCATATTTCTCGAGAGCATTCTTTATCCGGTCTATAGGTGAGTAGTGTTCATTCCCCCGAGCGAGACATGCTATCTCAACGTCCTTCATAGATGGCTTGGAGAGCCAACGATATAACAAGTTGACTCCGATAAATCCGGTAGCACCTGTAAGGAATACGCGACCTTCGGATGTCCAATCCGGGATCAACTCGATGTCATCAGCCAGATGGGTGTCAGCTTCAAATTGTAGGACTTCAGACGGTCCATAGTTTATTTCATTAGCTTGGTGTAGGTGATGTACCAAGGACCTAAGGGTCGGATGGATATATAGATCCTTGATTGATATCAATGTTCCAACTTCTTTTTTTACTAGGCCAAGGAATCGAGCGACTTGCAAGGATGACAGGCCGAGAGAAAGAATGTTGTCATCAGGACTAAGATTGGAGAGTCCTAAGATCCCTTCCAGGATATTTGTAATCTTCTCCAAGGCGGACTTGTCTTCATTCGCGTGATTCTGTAGGGATCTCAAGGGCCGAGATTCCTGGATCTCATTGTACAAAGCTGCACGGTCAACTTTACCGCGAGAATTCAGAGGAATCTCAGAGACAATCCTGACTTGATCAGGGACCATATAATAGGGATGTCGGTTTTGTGTCCATTCGATGATCTCGTGCGGGTCAAGTGGCATGTCGTTTGCCGGGGCGACAACAGCTGTAAGACGGTCAGATCCAGGACCATCACCGGCTTTCTGGTGCAAGCAAGCCACTGCCTGAACGCTATCATTTGCTGCGATAGTCCGCTCAATTTCCTCCAGCTCAACACGGAAGCCTTGGTGTTTCACCTGGAGATCTACACGCCCAATGTACTGGAGGCGTTTTGGTAGCCCTTTCCACATCCCAATATCGCCTGTGCGGTACAACCGGATGACCTTCATCCGTCCAGAGTCCTGCGATTCTGCAAGCTCAATCTCAATAAAATTCTCGGCAGTTGCTTCTGGGCAATTCAGGTACCCTACGGATAAGCCTGGCCCTCCAATACATATTTCGCCAGGAACTTCGTCGTCAACAATTGGCTTCCGGGATTCATCAAGGAGGTGAAGCACAGTATCTCCAAATGGTATTCCGGCGCTAATCGTTCCAGATTGAGCCTCCTGGAGTGTAACTCGTTGCAGAGTAGAGAGACATGTTGTTTCTGTAGGTCCGTAGCCGTTCCACAAGTTTTTAGGAGGACCATCACTACTGAGAACCCTTTGCATTGCCTGAGGACTGGGCGACTCTCCTGCACTCAGAACATGACGAAGGGACTGGAAAGCAGAAGGAATACCAGCGGATACCGCAGTAAAGAGAGTTGAGGGTAAAATGAGCGCCGTAACGCCCACGTCTTTTAAAAAGGCGGCAAAGGAGACGGGGTCCTTAATAATGGACTTCGGGATGTGCACCACTGTACCACCAGAAAGCAGTGTAACCCAGACTTCGAACAAAGAAAGGTCAAATCCTGGGTTGTTTAGCTGCCCGACTTTATCACCTTCCCCAATGTCTAGGGGCAGTGACTTGGCGAGGTGGAGAACAGCTTTCGAAGAAATCTGAACAGCCTTGGGCTTTCCTGTCGAGCCAGATGTATGAAAAATATGACTTCTGTGGCCTTCCAATTGCCCAGAAATCGTATTGATTTCACCGTATTTCTCTGTCTGGTGTTCAGGATTCAAAACCGTTTCGATAGGCAGGATCTCGAATTGAGAGACTCTTGCCGACAAATTGTTCGTTGTCATGACGAATCGAGTGCTCAATTCGTCAAGCATGGCGCGCAGTTGTATATCCGGGACAGACGGATCAATCGGCACAGAGGTTCCCCCTGCTCTCAGGACGGCAACCTGAGCAATGATTTGCTGCCAACTTGGCCCAAAAACGATACCAACAGGCTCTTCAGCACGAAGAACTTTCTCGAGCAGGTCCATCGCCAGAATGTCGGCCTTGGATAAAAGATCGCGATACGTGAAACGATGCTCTCCATCGATAACAGCCAGAGAGCCACTGGCTTCGTTGGCTCGGTTGCAAAGCAGCTGTTCCATTTTGGTTTGGTCACGAAGGATTTCAGTTTGAAGTAGTTTATCAATATAAGAAGAATTGGTTTGTTTGATAGCGGAGGATACCACGTCTACTTGGCTACCTTTATAGGTTTTCGTATAGCTCCATCCCACCTCGTTCGGATATGACGACACGGATTCGGATACGGCTCTGATAGGCAAGCACCATTTTCCTTGTTTGGGACTGAATGTGCCAAATATCGGAATGATATCTGAGTTTGTTCATTGTCTCCACAATTTTCAGGGTTAGAAGAATTCCATGACTCTACTTTGTGCCTTTTCGGGCATGAGGCAGATGGCGGTCTGGGGCCTTCGTATTTCGTTTTCGAATGCGTGTAACCTACACTTTTTCAATATGAAGCTTCTATATGGGGTTGACTTCCCTGTCGTCAAAGTTTTGCCAAGTAACTCTTACAGGAAGAATACATGTGTGTTACTTCCGGATCTAGATGCAGCCGCCTTGGTGAAGAGCGACTTGCATTTTTTTGATGTCAAGGAAGTTGAGAATTTTGGTTATTAGCCTATGGCCAGGACCATCTTTCCCAATGTTGATAACGAGTACACAGGAAACGGCCAGAATGTGTACTTCCCGAGGCCGAGAGCACTACAACAGGTGCCACAGAGGGAAGGTGGTGACGTGTTCAACATGTTCGAATCTACGAGTAGTAGACGAGAGCATGAAGCATGAACGCACAATGTGGTATTGTGGAAGCTGTAGAGCTATGTAAGAGAGGAGGGAAGTAGACGGTGTAGTCTAAAACTATCGAAATGAAGTTAAACAGTTGATACTAACATCAATTGACATTAGACCGAAGGCCTAACTGATTAATGGAGGGACAAAAGGCTGTCGCTCCTAATAGTGAGTAAAACTATCTACTACTTGGTGATATCGAAATGTACTAAAGTTGTACAAAACGGACACCCCTGAAAAGATCAATGCTGATTCTAGAAGAATTGCACCGCCTCAAGGTCAGTTGGACTGGATCCGCCACTCACGTGAAGCTTGTGTCACCCTAGTCACAGGCCCGGCTCACTGGTTCCAACACTCATCTAAACAGGGCTTCATCAGACCTCCATCATCCATAACATTACGCTTATAAATAGGTGGAGTTCCCATTTGTCTGCTTTTGGTCGCATGCTAATTAACTACCCAGCCCTAGTGACTTTAATTATTCAGACGTGTCCCTTCGGACCTTCGATCTGATCACCGAGCTCATCAACCAAAACCCGCTTCCCTAACTGGCCAGAGGGTACGGCGTCAGGGGATGCGCCGAAGTCGAGTATCTTCATAAATCAGTAAATTATAAACGTGATATTAGTTTGGACGTGTACTAACCTCGATATAGCTCACACTGCCACGTTGAACTGCTGCAACACAACACTGGGCATCGAATCGGACCTGCCAGACACCACTGAGGTCGGTGAGAATGTCCCTTTCGAAAACACCAGTCCGTATGTCCCACATCTTCACGTTCCTATCAGAACCAGAGATGATCTTTTGACCATCGTGCTGGAAACAGGTAATCGCCCCGGTATGACCGCTCAGCGTGCTCTGACAATGGCCGTTCGCTGGGTTCCAGACTCTAAGCGTAGAGTCTGCAGCCGCCGATACGAGCAGATCTTCTTTCAAGTCCAGTACGCCCACCAACGATGAGTGGCCTTCAAGATTATATAACGACGCACCTGTATCAATGGACCAGATCTTGACCATGTTGTCCATTGATCCACTGATACAGCGGTTCCGCTCATGGTCCAAACATACGCCATAAAGCTTCGACGTATGGCCTTCTAACCGGCGCAGCGATTCTCCAGTAGATATTTTCCAAACTCGTACAGTACTATCGTAGCTACCGCTGACGAGCGTATCCCCGTAGGCTGCGATTGCTCGCACGGAATGTTGATGGCCAGTCAATACCCGGAGGAGATATGGACATTCCTCGTCGCCTGGGTGAGGGAGTTTCCAAACCCGTAGAGTTGTATCACGGGATCCCGAGATAATTAGGGGTTGTTCGGGCATCATCACTGGTGTACCATCTGGATGCTGGTCAATTTGAACTGGGAGCAATATCTGTATGCACCGTACTGTGGATGTGTGACCTTGAACACGTGGGTGCACTCGGCTCTCGCAATGTCCCATACTCGGATGGAGCAATCCGTCGACCCAGAAACCAGAGTATTACCATAGTATTCAAGTGCCCATACACCACGTTCGTGACCTTCCAGTGTTGCTCGAAGCGCTCCGGTCTTGGTATCGTACACATTGATTTTGGTATTGTCGCTACCGGCTACGATTTTGTCGGTATCGAATTGTAAACTAGTTATAGCATGTCGATCGTGTGCTCGGAAGGCAAGATGCATAGGTTTTGTATTCCTCCACATCAGGCTTATTTTGATGAAGGCACAGTGGATGCCTTCCCTATTTGTTCAGCTGTAGAATTTGAAAGAGGTTAGAAGAAAGGAAGAAAAGAAAAAGAAATAGGGGCGATAATGCGGGGTATTTCAAAATAATACACGTGTATTGCCAGCGCGCCCCAGCCTCGGGGTATCCCAGGTGTGTTGGGGTTGTTGCCACGCCTTTAGATAGCCACTTGGGCCTACTGGATCGACAAGCACCTGGACGCAATCGAAACCGTCCAGAAAGAATGGCACAAAGTCGCCAAGGGTTATATGGATAACTTAAAGAGCGCAGCCGCGCAACAGTTTTCGTCCCAGACTATGATGACGGGCGCTGCAGCGGTTGGCAACTTCAAGTTCCCATTGAAGAACCCGGGTAAACCGCTGCCTGGTACTCCGATGAGTTCATCAAATGATGAGAGTAGATACGGGATGTGGGGAGGCAATCAGCTAGAAAGCTGGGGCTGTAGTTGAACTAAAACTGGTAGTCGGTGTATGTATGTGTATAGTACTAGTATGTATATGACTAGTGACTACAATTGTGCCTGGTGTAACTTACCAAGTAGTTAGTAGTTAATACTTGTAGTAGTATGAGTTGAGTTGGATTTAGCTCTAATTTCGTGCCGATCCTCCAACTAAACACCGCAAAGTACCTCATTTATATCTCCCCTCATCTACTCCCCCAATCCTGTTCTCAAGTCTTTTTACTCTTCAAATACGCCAAAGGCCCAATTAGCCATGGAAGAGAGCGGCTGGCAGCAAGTGCGTACCTACGCTGACCATCTGGGTCATCGCGTGGTGCTTGAGCAGTACGTCGTGCCAGACCCAGAACCCGACCACCTGGTTCCTATCCAGGTTTATAGCCTTGTCCCCCTGGATGACGACCACGAACAGCTACGGGAATACCTGATGCAAAATTTCTGGAGTGATGAGGTCGTGCCTATGTTTGAGATTTATTCATACCGCCCGCCCGACCCCTTCGCCTGTATTGAGCATAACCGCCTCGAAATCGCTCGCCGTAAGCAGCAACACCGGTCAGGGATCGAAAATGCACCCCCGCTGATTCCGCAATTTGCCGGTCGTCCCGACAAGTCGATTCCCATAGGGTTTTGTGTCCTAATACGGTCGCACAGCTATCGACTGGGCGAAACCGACGAGGAAGACCTTGCTGAGGCGGGCGAAGGCCCGGATATGCTCTACTTCAACCGCTCGTTTTCCAGCACGCGCAGTGATGTTGATGAGACGCAGCGTTCACACGAGTACGGTAATCCTCACCAGAAGCATTTGAGTTGGCCACTGAGCGCGTCAAGAATCAGAATGACCTCGGGGAGATTGTCGTACTCGATATGTTCAACAACGTCGGTCGCGCCGGGACGCGAGACGCCTTGGACGTAGACGAGGGTGAGCCTCCCATCTCGGATATACCATCAGAAGAGCAAATCCGCGACGAACTTGGCCAGGAAACTGCAGTTGGCGGCTTCTCTCTTGATCCGGCATACCAGGTTACTCAGGATGCCGATATTGTAACAGTCAGCAATACTCCTGAGGGAAACATCTCTGATATTCAATACATTGTCCATGCGCTTTTTCTCAGCTCTATCCGCGACACAGCAGGGTCCTCCCTTTTAGAAATCACAGCGCACCTCTTCACAGCATCAATTGTCTCTCACCTCCCGGCCAATAAAACCCTCACTCTCAAGTTCTTTATCCCAAAGTCCCCTACTTGGGCGGCCATCCGCCCCGCTCAAACTGAAGTTATTGAAGTTCTATCCTCTCAATCAACCCAAGAAGAGAACCGAGAAGATCCCTTCCCTATCGGCGCCCTGCACACCTTCCATGCGGGCGACGGACAATCCCCTACAACGCACCGCATGACGCCTCAACTCAGCGACGCGTATTTTGTCCCGACAGAAAAGCCGCCCCGTATCCCATTTCGCCTGTTCACAGTTGTGCTCGATCGCGCCAAGTTTGTCTCCGAGGCCGGAGTTTATTTCTACAAGGCGTACTGGGATTCGACTGGAAATGTGGACCCCTACGCAGAGGATGCTCCCGATGATACACAGGTTTCGCGTGGCGTGGACTTAAGTACGACTGCCGGACGGTTGGGGCTGGTGGTTCCTGACAGGTAACTTGGTTTTGCTAGGTGTTTACAATATGTCTCAAGCAGTTTTACCATTTTTAATTGTTTCTGAGCAAACTAAGCTCTATACGGGTAGGGTTATGATACTAGTATGTAAACTAGTAAGCTATATGCATGAATCTGGAATTCAATCAATCAACAAGAGAAAACGACGCATATGCCAGGAATAATATAAAAGTTTTAAAAGTAAAAAAGGTGACGGTCACATTGTCACCTCGGGAACTTGAAGTGATCAGCTCCCGGAGCCCAGCCTGAGTTACTAGGTCCTCCTGCCGTCCAGAGTGCTCCGTGAGTGCAGTCAAAACCCGTTAATTGGAAATAATAGCGTTTTCCAAACATGTTCCAATTAGGGGGTTTTCCAACTACCGTGTTTTCTTGGCATTTCTTACTTGTATAATCAACATTTCACTAATTAGTATGGAATAACTATAGAGATATATATCTGAGGGTATTGAATGTAAAACCCCTCCAAATCCTCCCAAGATATACTAAGATCTGGTAATTCTGCCGGTCCCGCCACTAGTACTATACGTATTTAAGAAGGCGGAATATATATTTTATATTCCATTACATTACAGTGTACAAAACGGATATTGAGTGCTGTCAAAAACGCGTATTGAGTGCTATCAAGAAGAGGGGTTGATGAACTTGAAGTGCCTGAATAGGTAGTTACCCTAGGCTACGGCTACTACTAAATACTATCAAAGTACCAAAAAAAATAATGAAGATACTAAGATAGCTGTAACAGAGTACAGTGCTATATACGGTATTATAGGGTATCTAAAGCTTGGGGCGTATGTATATCAATATGGTATTTGCACAATACCCTATTTTCAAGGATAGTATCAAAGTACCGTTGTAGTGCGGTTATTCGACGGTATTCCATTCACATACCGTACTCCTGACTGTTTTTGAATATCTATGTTGAGCGGCATGGACGTTTTACTATGTGACATTCATGACGTGAAACGTGCTCATGCCTTCTTCAATCAACAGAGAGTTGGTTTGCGACAACCGCTTCTGTGTCGACTATAGTACCGGCGGTATTCAGTAGTTCGAAGTCAATAGTAGCAAACCGCCTTTTCCATTGCCTCTCTTGCCGTCGCCAATTCTGGTAACCACTTGAGCACATTTTGCAGAGAGCCTTTCCCATGGGACGAATCGCTGCGACAGCGATATCTCATTAAGATTTCCAGATACGAGATCAAGATGTATAGCCTTGAAAATACATGCCGCACTTCCGATAATAGTGCCGACGACGTTTGAAACTTCTTTTAGCGCCAAGAAAGCTGCACCAAATGTTGATGAAAGGCATTTGTCCCATTCTATCCTTCCGCTTGCCATCGGGAGCAAAGAGTGCCGACTGCCAGAAGGCTGAATCAAATGGTATCCTGTTTCCAGTCGAAAAGTGGATGACTGGGTCAAATCCTGGCCTGCTCCGTTATTACTCTTAAGTTGCATAATCACGTGCACTTGTTCTTCATTGTTTCGGCAATTCGCATAGATAATGTCGCCGTCCGAGTTTGCGATCGAAGTCCTCAGTCCAAGTATCCACACCGAGAAGGCTGCTAGCCAAGCTGCATCAACTGCACCAATGAGCTTGATAGAGTTCATTGAACCGGAAGACACTATTGCAAATTCTGGAGAGCATTTGCAATAGATCGAGCGGAAGCTACGTGGCGTAGCAGAGAGACGAAATTCGTCTGATTCCTGCATTCTCTAACAAGCGGGATCATCTCGCCGGCAACAGGCGGATCTTCTCAATGATAAGAGGAAATTCTGTAGTCGCAAAAACGCCCTGGAAAGCCCGTATTAGCGAACGCCATTCGGAAATTGACAGAGCGAAGTCGTCAGGCAGATTAGTCAAATTTACGGGCTCAAGAGACGGGGATAACTCCTACCAGTAGTTCTGATACACAATTTTAGAAATATCTCAATGTGTATTGACCCTTTATACCTTCTCAATGCTGTACTAACTAGCAGTGTATATATTCCAAAATAACATAACAATAGTAAGACCAAACATATATCAAGAGGAGTTCAAGTATTGATATGCCCTGTCTAAACTAAAAGACCAAGAGAATGCAACCAGCTGTTGCTCTACTTCTTCCTGTCATTGTGCTCTTGTTGCACTAGTCGCTTGTCAGCACTATTACACAGCACACACTCGCTCAGTCGTCGCGGGTAGCTTCTGGGATGAATTGGACATTGGACCACATGGCCTAAATGGATGCATCGCGAAGGCCGTAGCACGTGGGTAGGTCGCTTTCCAGGACAGTGATGCTCATTTTTCTTGACCTTGACTTCGGGCTTAATCTCGACCTTCGTTGCTACCTTGTTCTCCTTCAGACTGCGACTTCTTTTTTTACCCCTACCCTTGCCCTTGTTTTTGCCCCTGCCGTTGCCCATGTTGACAGTCGGAACCTAGTAACGAGGTGAGAATTTCCTTGGAAGTTTGAATTGATGGAAGTAGCCGGTCCTTGGCTTCTTGGAATTGACCTGGAGAACTAATGTCAAGAAATACCTCTGTTTTTATACTAGTCTTCATCCGGTATGTACCGTGTAGGAGTTATCCGTTGATCTAGCGTCTTGTTAGAGTATTCTGTATGGTATCTTTATTTCCTTTGTTTAGTCGATGCACTCCGAAACTCGTGAAATGAGTAACGTTCTTTGACGCTGAAAACTATGAGCGTTATATATCAAAGAGGCGAAAGACTTGGACAAAGCAGCTGGTAAGATATCGGCGAGCCGAGACAGGCAATATGGCCTGGTCTCTATTAGCTTTATGTTTATTCCTCATACATTTCATACAAAGCCATTGATTTCTTATATCTTGGCCTTGATCTTGACTCAGTGCGTCCTTTCATTCTAGCTTATACTTTACCTTGTATTTTGTCCAGTGTCTCGGTGCAAAACCCTTCCCCTGGCTCCCTTCTAGTCCTTTCTTTTCTTTGCGGTCATTGAAGCTCGCACAACCTTCACCAATTCGGAAAGGTCAGAGCTTCTCCTACTCATCTCGGACGATGACAATGCGAATTCTTACACCTCCTATTCCGATTTGACCAAAGTATATTTCGATGTTTTCGCTGATTCGAAATACATCTGTCTGCACAGTCTTTTACTCAAGATACTATGGGAATAGTACATGAGCTTGTCTATGCAACCTTCCAGAAACAAATTTTGATGCAATATGCAAGCAACCACATGGGGTTTATTTTACCTAAGTCGTAGACGGTTGTTGAAAGAGAGTTTGAGCATTGTGCTGCTTGCGTTATGATTATGTTTTGTTTTCATTGCACATTTTTTGAATTAGAATGTACCTGGTGTGGGCAACTGGATCAACACATTAAGAAAAGCTCTCTGACAGTATGGGAATCGAGAAAAAGTAACTAGCGTAAAGGGATCGTCCAACCATTAACGTTTCTCTGTAGAAGAGCCCTGTGCAAGGGAAAAATAGACAGAAAAAATCATGCAATAAAAGAAACAACGAAAGCAGAAACCCAGAAAAGAATGTCCAAAGCGCCATCTCATGTATTCCTTGGGTATCTCGAGAAACGCTAACAAACGCAAAAGCAAACTGAAACTGCCTGTATATCATCAGTCCGTCAAATCAACCTGGTGCCTTCTCCAAGCTCGGCGGAAGTGGCCAGCCCTCTCTATAAAACAACGCGTCAGAACTGCTTGCTAAACACATCAAGGACGGAAGGGTATCATGGCTTACCTGAGAAATTTCCTCTTCAAGTTGCGAACACGATCTTTGCAATTGACTTGGGAACGACGCTCAAGCATGGGACCACCTTCAGACGGGGGGCAAGCGTTGTCTTGTTTCTTTATGGTGGCATAGGAAGTGCCATAAATATTCAAGAGGTGGAGCAGACGTTCATCTTCTTCGTCTGTCCACCTGTGGCTGGTCTTCGGAGCTCTCCGATTGACCAGCGGAGCCTGGGAATTGGAGGCTGCCCAGCGACTCTGGGTACTAGTGGGCGGTTCGAACTGTTCAACGGTGGTCTCGTCATCAGTGATATCGTCACTATCAGCTCTCTGAACCCTTTGAGAAGCTTGTGTTGCGTTAGGTTGGTTATGGTGGAACAATTTGTTGATATTCGATAGCAACCGTTCTCCGGCGGACCTCGCATTATCCTCGGGGCGCTGTCGCTTCGCGGCAGGCAAATTTTGCTGGGGCTTTTCGACCCTACGCCTGGGGTCAACGTCGTGATTGTTCTGCTCGAATTCAATGTCTGACCCGTCACTTGTGTCATCGTCCGGGACATCCACATTTCGATTTCGTTTCCCCAGAACAGTGAACTGATTTCCTGGAGTTTGAGTATCATATTGACTGATCGGCGACACAACTCTAGCGTTACTCTGCTTATCGAGGAAGCGCCGAGCGATTTGAACCGATCGCTGTGTGTTCTCATCTCTTGGCGAATCAAAGAACCGAGGATTGGGGTTATGGCTGACCCTACTTATTCTAGAGGAGGTAGGGGGGCTGGTTGATGTCATAACATCAGGTTCTGGGCCCTGACCGAGGTCCAAGTCCTCGTCATTGTTTACATATGTAGAGTCGTCGCCGATATCTCGGTATGACAGCTCAGGGGTTTGTTGGACTTCAGGAGAATCGGCTCCGGGACTAGCGGAAGGGCCAGGATCAATCGCTTGGGTCACAATGTTTGTGTCCGTAGAAATATTTTGCGCATGCGATTCGACGTTCGAGACAGGTTCCTGACGACTAGCAGCCTGGCGCCTCATGAGTGCCGCGAACGAGGCCGGGTCTCGGAAGTTGCTGTAGATGAAAGTCAGTAGCCACACAAAGAGGGGGAAACCGTACCGTAGAGTGAGCATACCTTTTGGACTTGCGGCGACCTGGGTCTTTTGCTACCATCTGTGGGACTTGGTCGGAGAGACTTTGTCCAGGAACCCTCTGAGAAGTGATTCCTGACCGAGAAGCGACGTTGTCAGGTACTTTGTCTGCCTGGGCTGACCGTTCTGCGTGTTGCGTCTGAGGTGCCGGTTCCGCTTGTGTTGCCATCTCCGTGTGGAGCGCCCTATTTGCATCCGGTGCTGTGTTCGCCAATCGTTCTTTCTGAGGAGAGTGAGTTTGCTGGGGCAAGGGTCCCCGACGAGAGATTTCACCACTTGGAGGAACTGTCGATCCTTGACGCCGACTGGGAGTTCCAGCCGGGACAGAAGTAAGGCGACGAGGGGCGGGTGAGTTAAGCGCTTTTTCTGACAAGCGTCTGATGTCGTCCTTGATTTCTCTGTCACGAGCATAGATCCAACGTGCAAGGTCCCGTTCAAACGATCGCCATCTGTATGCCTTTTTCAGACCATCAATATCAACGGAATCCCACTCAGAAATTTCCTCGTGAAGCTCATTGAACCTATCGCTGACAGCGACGAGGAACTTTTCAGGTAGGTGTTCTGGAAGATGGCCATCCTCGTTCTGTAAGACACCCGGCAAGTTGAACCCTCGGAAAGAACCCGGGGAGCCATCTTCGCTGGGCGCAAGGTCTATAGCAAAGATCTGTCTCAAGATGGAGAGTGGCCTGAAGTCTTGCTCATGTTGGCGTCTTTCTAATTCCATGACGAAGAACTGTGTGCGGATACCCAAGGCAAGATTGAAGGTGGTCTCGCTGGTATTACTGGCTCCAATTTCCCTTGACATAGAACTGTCCGCAATGTTGCTCATGACACATGCGGGGAACTGGGAATCTAGCTGCTGGATGACCTCTGACTGGGACTCGGTACCTATGCTGGGGAGGAACATGTTGAGAGTCAACAGAGCGCAGTTTGTCATATAAATATCTGTGATTGATGCATCCAATTGCGCGGACGAAAGCAATCGACGAGCCTGAGAGATGTCCAAGAATGACTTGCCATCACGAGAAAGAGGAGAGTCTTCCAGTTCATCGGTCAGCCCTTCAACGGATCGTCTCAGGCGTTTGCGATTCGGATGATTAGAATCGAGGAGCCTTTTCGAATCAGCTGCAAGGCTGTCCGGGTTCAAGTCTGGGCGAACTAAGAGACTCATAACAAGGGTCGCCTGTTGCTGAACGAACGGCAAGTGGGTCGCGATTTTATCGGCGACTTGGGAACCGACGGGCTCCACATCGTTGTGACCCAGGGTCGTACCAGAGACATTGGTATGACCTTCATGGTTTTCTGGCGACTCTGGTACCACATGTCTGGGTACAATAGAGCCGGGAGAAGGAGTAGAAGGCTCCTCAGTCACCCCGCTCAGCCCTGAATAAAGTCAGAACACATTCAATTATGAAGCATAAGTGATGGAAGCAACAGGGTCAAGAGCGATGCAAGTGGACGAGAGAATGAAGTAAGTATCGAGCGAATTGCGGCTTGAGGAATACACAACTATGCATAGTTCTCCCAATGCGTAGTTGCCTAACCCCACTGTGCGGCAGTAAGGACTCAACAGAGGCTGGGCTACACCAAAAAACAACTTTGAAATTACCTACAATTTCGCTCTAATGATCCCTTATTTGGCATAAAACCTGCATTTGCTGCTTCTCGGCTCCGACTTCGCGTCATGCGGGACCCCGTGAGGCGTGCCATGGAAGGCGGTGGAGGATGTAGGGCAGGACACGTCAACCCTCTACACGCGTTGTTGTTATGGGTTCCCTTTTGCACTCTTCGATAGGAATTTGACGAGTCTGAAGGAAACCATATAAAATTAGACGCATCAGATGCCCGCCTGATGAGATGGATGCGAATTTGCTGAAGAGTTGGAGAGTTCAGGGGACGGGGAGGCGAGGTGCAAGGGTTTTCGGGGCTGCGTTACTCGGAAAAACGGACTATTCATAAAGCGTGGTACGCTACGCCGCCTTAGGTAAGTTTTACGCCTGAAATATATGCCTGTAATATAAGGCAGGAGTAAACCCTAATGCCAAAACCCTCAACCCTAAGGGACTTTTCCAACCCACATTCACCCAATGATGTTGCTCGTGATCACATGATAAAGAGTTAACCTTCGAGGTTTGACTTTCGCGTTTGAATTAGAGCAGATAGATTCTTATTCCTTACCACATGGGATACAGTTGGAACAGGTCAATAGGAAACACTATGTCGACGGATAAACAGAAAAATGATGTGGCTGTAGGAATTCTATACAGATCTTCAATGCGGCGTCTTTGGGAGATAATAAAAAGGGAGCGTTTTCGAGTCATCATGCACAGCCAACGTAAATCATGTTGATCACTCTACAGCTCCATTTCCGCAACCCCATTAGTGGGGCTGCCTTCTTGCCGTGACCGGTCAACGCCCAGCACGGCGCCCTCATTTTCACTCCGGAGCTTACGGGCCCGCACAAACAGATTAAGTATGGTGGCTAATCCAGCAAAGGCAACATACTAATAGCAACCAGGACATTCCATTAGCATAGATGCCCCGACAGGATTATAAGACGGCAATGTAACGTGTTGGGGAGACCTACCATGACCCACACCACCCTCAATGCCTCAAAGTACGTCTTCCTAACCAAGACTTGTTGATCTGCATTCAGTCCAACGGTGCTAATCTCCTCCACACTCGAAGCAGCATTGTCGCCATTGAATATGCTGGCTAGAGGTGAATTCGAACCGAGCCGGCTTGCCAACTCCCCGTTCTTCGCATTCATCTCATTCTGAAAGACCACGCCACCGACGACAACTGAGATAGCGGTGGAAATCGACCGGACAAACCCCATTGTCGCAGTCACGGCAGCCGTATCGCGAACACTTGTAGCAGCTTGAGCCGCCAGGATAGGGGCTTCGATGTTCATGCCCACGCCGATCCCGACCAGAATCTGGAAGATGATTAGTTTGGTTATGTTGGATTCAAATTTGAGACTGATTAGCAGTCCCGAGCCAAGGACCGAAAAGCCCTGCGCAATATACATCACGGGCAGATATTTCCCAGTTCGCTGCATGAAAATTCCCGCTGCCGCTGCGGCCAGGGCACATGAGACGATTAGCGGAAGGAGGTACAGTCCTGACATCAAGGCTGTCGCAGCCAGGACAGACTGCGCGTACAGGGGTAGGTAATATGCCTGCCCGATGAAGATGTATGAGTTGCACGCGAAGACAACGTACGGCGCTACCTTGGTCGGCGAGGTAAATAGCCAAAGAGGGATAATAGGATTCTTGGCAATCTTCCACTCATTGACCACAAACAGCGCCATCACTGCTGCTCCGAAAATTAATAGACAGATCACTGTTGCGGAAGACCAGGAGTAGACGACGTCCCCAAACTCGAGGGCTAGGAGGACCATCAGAGCGCCCCCTACAATTAGAACACTTCCTGTCCAGTCGATGACTTTTAGACCGGCGGCGATTGGTGTTCGGGGGCTTTCGACTCTCAAGAAGAATAGTAAGACGAGAAAGGAGACGGCCCCGACCGGTACTGTGGGTTGAGTTAGCTTAGGGCCATCACACGAAGTGGAATGCCTCACGATTGATCCAAAAACACCATCGCCAGCTAAACAATGGTCAGGCTTGTTGTTATTCAAAATGGAGCGGCACCTGCCTCAGCCTCTCTGTAAAAACACCGCCCAACACCGGTCCTATGGCACTTCCAACCGCCCAAACCAGTGAGGTGATGGCGAGATATAGCCCTCGATCCCGCAGCGAGAACATATCACTGACAACAATATTGACCATTATCCCCATGCCCGATCCCCCCAGTCCTTGAATTGCACGACCCACGATCAAAGCGTCCATTTTCGGTGCAAGTGCGCAGACAAGACTTCCGACCAAAAAAACGGCTACCGCGATCAGCATGATCGGCTTCCGGCCCCAGATGTCGGAGACAGACCCCCATACCGGAGTTATCGCTGCGTAGGCTAGAGTATAGGCGCCCCCCACCCAAGTATAACCGGCGGCAGACTTGAGCGAGCCGACTATGGCGGGAATTGCGGGAGTCACGATCGTTAAATCGAGGGCAGAGAGGAACACGGACAGACAGAGCGACATCATGGTCCAAGCGATGTTGGCGTTGGTCAAAGGAGACTCTGTGGCCTGCTCGCCGGACCCAGAGGGCGCGCGCGCGGGAGCGGCATTGGCATTGTCAACGGTGGTGTTAGGGACATTGGCGCGGGCCAATGGGGCACGATTGTCCGCGATATTTTTTGAATCAATTGATGAAGAAACTCTAGAAAGTCCGAGAGCCTTGGACATTGTAGAGATGAATGCGGCCAAGAGCGAATAATTGTTTCGAGAGAAAATTAGGCGGCCGTTAAGTAACAGCCCCGGACCCCGGTCACCGTTCACCTGACCTGGCTTTGTTTACATCGCCCCCTCAGGACACAGAGAAATTTGAGATGCACTTCAATTTCAGCTGAACAAGTCGAGCACTACCAGACTTGCTGGAATAGCATCGCAGGCTACGTTATGCGTACAGTTAAGATGCTTCCTCGCCGTCTAGTCCTACCCGCCGAGTTATTCTTACATTCATACCAAAATGCGCTTCCATGGTTAGCCCACCGGAAAGGCACAATCAAATCGACCACGGCAAAATCGAACCGTCGGAACAGCTGCAATATTCTCAACAATTAGAACGAGCGGTCGCGGGACATGGGAGATGGCGCCTACCTCGAAGATCGTCTTTCCCAGCTCTATATACGCCAATCGCTTTCCTAAGCACTCCCACCTGGTTCCAGTGGAAAACACTAAGCCGTACCATGCATCCATAACCCATCCTCCTTTCTATCGGTGCGTGGATTCACCGCTGCGGATCATAAGCGTCTGCATCTTCTCCAAAGATGCTTCGGTTCCTCATAATCGCCAGCGCCGACCAAGCGACCTTCGTATTTGCTGGGACCTTGACGCCGCAGATTCTATCGTCATGCGGGCACACCTTCCCCATGAGACCCATGCTAGGTGGGAAATCCTGAGTCCTTCCTTGATGCATGCCTGGAGGAATGGCAGGGCTTCTGCCTCGGCAGCGCTAATGACTGGTCTTGTCACTGTTTTTACAGCACCGTCGATCTCGGCTTGGAGCCAGGTATGCTTGAGGGGTGGTCGACAAGTAAAGGATAATGTTTCGGAGGGCAGTGGACGTCGCGTCCGTGCCGCCGAACACGGTCACAAGTGCTTCCGACTCGAGTTCGGGTCTGCTCAAACCGAAGTTGATGAAGGACTGGAGGATATTTGCCGATCATAGGATAACATGTGGTTGTAACTTGCAGATGCCAGGAGACTGACAGTTTCAGGACGAACAGTACAAGCCAATAATAGTACCATATAGTTCGAGCTTCAGGTTTTCCTCTCATGTAATGTGAAACAGTTCCTATAGTTGTATCGAAACCAGAGGCTTTGAGCATGTTTTTTCAGGTGTCGTTTTCCCCGCGTTAGTGTTATAGCTAGTAGGATAAAGACAAATAGCTCCCAAATAATATAATGCAAGGCGTTGTTCTGAAATCGCTTAGCAGCCTGAAGCCACTCCTGTACTTTTCCAAAAGAATATATGTCATGCTCATTCTTAGCAGTATGAAATGCCCTCTTCATACCATCCATCCGTGCCCAAAGTCTGTAACCGTTTCCCGAAGGGCTGACACAATTCAAAGTCAATCAACACCGGCGATCCACTTTTGACCATAATGTTATCCGGGTTAATGTCGTTATGAGCTAGCCCTACGGCGTATAGGCGCTCCACCGCCGACTTAAGAGATTCGAAAAACCTGGCTTTGTCGAGCTAGTGAAAATTGGAGGTTCAGGTATTCGTTTAGGTTCCAGTCAAGCCGCTCTAGAACGACCGACGCGATATAGCCGTGCTTCACACGACAGCTGTGATATCGAATTATGTTTTAGTGAGTCGATCGTGAGATTTGCTCTATAACTAGCGATTGTCTCATTAAGAGCGGCCTTGGGGAGATAGTCTGTGCCAATCATATCCTCGTACCACTGTAGGCCTGGTCGTTTCACGTAAACTGAAGAAGCATCCAGTCCTTCTCTAGATAAATACCGTAGGAAAAGAACCTCTAGATAGATATATTTGTCCTGGACACGTCGGAGAGGTGAATTGAATTTTGCGATGGTCATTTCGTGCTTATTCTTTGACGTGAAACCAAGGAAAAACCTCCTTATCTTTGACGTCGTAGAAGATAGTGGATTTCAGCTTTCCATCGTTCCACGACTCAACTATAGATCTTGGAGTTTTTTTTATCAATGGTAGGTCTTGATCAAACCCGATTTCATTCTCGGAACTAGCTTCCACAAAACTCATAATAAAAATGTATACGCATAAGAGTTGATAACAGAAGAAAGAAAGAAAATGTATTGGTGCCTAATCATAACCAAACCAATTATTGGGTAAGCTGACCGAGAGAACGTGCACTTCGTATCCCTTTTCCAGCAGGAGCTCGCAAACCTAGTAACCATCTTGACCTCTAATGCCTGTTTACAGGCAATAAGCATTGCATTGTGAGAGTACGCACCCGTGATGGCGGCCACCTTGGGACTGGACTTCAATTTTTTGACAGCGGTCATGGTTGACTACGTAGCCGTCTAGGGGATCTTAAACTAGAGAGAACAAGGGTGAAGAATTGTCAACTGTTCTCACCTCTCCCACCACAGTGTCTAGAATTCTCACCTATATCACCTGCGCTCACCTAGAGTGCTGCTTGGGTACTGAGTGTGCATTGAAAGGTTTGAAAGAGCCCTAGAGGTCTCATAGCGTAGTACGTAAGCAGGAATTGTACTCTGGCGCCTACTTAGGTACTTTCCACGAGCGGGGGTGATGTAAGAGAAGAACGCTACAGAAGAACTTAGAAAGAGATTGGTGGCGGAAGGGGCGGGGGGAAGAGGAAAGGTTCTACGAGGAGTCCATCACTATTGTATCTCATTATCCATAGATGTACCTCACTATAAAGCTCCGTCTCGCCACCATGGAAGAAATATGTAGTCGCTGCCAAATACCCTTCTCTTCTACTGAACCATTGTACCTCACAAGCGTTTAACAAAAAGCTCGGCTAGATAACCAGGTAACCAGACAACAATAGCAAATATTTTCCCGCGCCTAATTCTTCTACGAAAAATGCCCCCATAAAGATCAGCCTAACATCCTCTGTGGTCCAGTTCCTTTGATATACTCACGAAATATTCGCGGAATTAGTGCTTATCAATTCGTGCAGGTGATTACGAGGTTACGACCAGCTTACACAACGACACCTACCCTGAGATTGATCCACGTTTGTTGAATCTCAAGGGCAAAGGTGTATTCATCACTGGTGGATCGCGGGGACTTCGCACTATCATTCGCCAAGGCCAGTGTATCTAGAATTGCCGTTGGAGCGCGCTCACAACTGGACGGGCTTGAAAAAGAAATTGCAGACGTTTGCGTTACCCCGCCAGAAGTCTTGCCTGTGAGATTGGACGTCACGGATGAAGCTAGCGTTGCGGCAGCAGCGGTAGAAGTCGGTCGGAAGTTCGGCAAGCTAAATGTTCTGGTCAACAATGCCGGAATATTGGGCAAATACGGTCTCATCGCTGACTCGGACCCCGAGGAATGGTGGCAAGTACTGAATGTCAACCTTCGAGGCTCTTATCTCGTTACTCGTACTTTTTGCCTCTTATCCTGAAAGCCGGTGAGGAGGACAAGTACATCGTGAATGTTTGCAGCTTGGGTGCCCATTTGACCAATCCCACATTGAGTAGCTATCAGGTGGCAAAGAATGCACTGTTGAAGCTCACCACATTGACAAACGTCGAGAATGGCCCTGGAGTAATCACGTTTGCTTATCCACCCTGGGAATTGTCCGACGGATATTATGGGAGGACCAGATGCGATTCCACCGCACCCAAGCATGGTAAGTCGCTGCTGAAGTCTGGGCATAGAAGTAGGTGAAATTAACATCGATTTCTCAAAGTGTCTGTGGAAACACCGGAGTTCAGCACGGATTTTCGAATGCGTGGGCAATCCAGAGGCAATTAAGAATGGACAAATGGGTTCATTCACTTTCTTGAATCTCCGGACAGGAAATGCCGCGTTCCAAACTTCTCTTCCCCCGGGATGAAAGGGGGCCCGCATGTCGCGTGTCAGGTTCCTTGAGCTGCTCATGACCGACCTTGATATCCATTATTCAAACCGTCTTTCTGAGATCACGTTTCCTACAGATGATACGGTCAGGGCGCAGTTTGAAAACGGTCACCAAGTGACTGGAGATCTCCTCGTGGGCGCAGATGGAGCGAATTCAGCGGTGCGCCGCTTTGTGTACGGCGCTGAAAATTCAAAAAACACTCGGCTGCCCTTGCGCATGCTCAATTGCCGGTCTCACTATCCTCTTGAAGGACTTGACGGTTGTTTGAAAATTGATCCGCACCTCTTCCATGCCGGTGATCCTGTGCAGTATGGCTATTTCATGTTCGCCTTTCTTGATATGCCACCCCTGGGATCGAAGGAAGGCAAAGCTGGAGTCCAGTTAACTATAAGCTGGCCCTATGAATCCGGTTATTTAGACGAAGAAAACCCGTCAGATCCACCAACCGAGCTTCCGGAGCAGTTAGCTTGGTTGAAACGGATGGCAAAACACTGGGCGAATCCCGTGTATGACCTGATCCAAGGTAGTAATAACATCGTGCCTTTTCAAGTTCGCATCACTCAACACTCAAGACAAGGCATAATGATGCAATCAGCGGCTTTTACTCCATAAAGGTATTTTCTGCGCAGAGATAGTAGGTCGACATCCAAATGTTGCGTATCAAATGTTGCGCAGCCTCGGTGTGGGTATCAAAGTGAAACAAAAGTATACAAGGTGTACGGAGTACTCCGGACAGACCAGTAAACTGTAAAACTCCGAGCCCGTCTTCGGTCCGTGTAACCGCCAAATGGACTTCACGATGACCAGATGTAGATGCTTGCAGATTATGGGAGGACACGGTGGGTCTTCGTGGGTCGACACTAATAAAGACGCTAACCACCATTCGTACTCGTCCCAACCAACCATACTAGCTACTGGTCGTTCCGAGATCCCTACACAGCATTCGGATTTAATTCCAAGCGCCTAGCTTTAACACCGGAGGGGGATCAGGAGCTGTGGGGGTGGAAAGGACTTGGGTCATATCCTAGTAGCACAGGAGGGGTTCAATAACGTGTCAACAGGAACAAAGAAAAGAAATCTCTCCCAAAATCGGGCTTTGGGGACATATCGGATTTAAAGTAAAGCGAAGAATTCAGCTGCAGGTACGACACAAGCAACTTCTAAAATATAAATCCGCCGTGGTTGTATACCTCTCATCTGCACCACCATTTTACCTTCTACCATTCTTCCCTCCTACATGCTTCACCTGCTCAGGTTGAACCGTCCTTTCAGCAGAAAAGCACCCACAACAGCAATCACAACATCAACTCGTCAAACATCTACCATGGCCGGACAACACGAAGCTGCCATTCTCCCCCAGCAGGGCGGTCCCTTGTCTCTTGGCAAGCGTGCCACCCCGGAGCCCGGTCCAAACGATGTTCTTATCGAAGTCAAGGCCGTTGCCTTGAACCCCTGCAATCATTTCCAGCGTGACTATGGTATGCCTCCGGTGCCTATCTACCCTGCTATCATCGGATCCGATACTGCTGGTGTTGTCGCCAAGCTGGGCTCGAATGTCACCACGGTCCCTGGTCCAGGAAGCCGAGTCATTGCCTTTGCCTCATCTTTCTACCAGAACGGCTCCCCCGACCACGGTTCTTTCCAAAAGTACACTTTGGCACAATCCGAAGCCGTCATCCCACTTCCAGACAATCTCTCGTTTGAGGAAGGCGCGGTCTTCCCCTTGGCCGTCTTGACTGCCTTGACTGCCTGGACGACAATCGGCATTCCGCTCGACACCAAACACACTCCCGCGGACAAACAAGCGGTCCTGATCTGGGGCGCATCGAGTAGTGTAGGCACGTTTGCCGTTCAATCGGCCAAGACACTTGGCTTCACTGTCTACGCCACCGCCAGTCCCAAGCACCATGACCTCGTCAAGAAGCTCGGAGCCCATGCGGTTTTCGATTACAGGGCAAGCGATGTCTTCTCTCGGATCGTCAGCGCCGTGAAGAAGGATGGTACAGCTATATTCGAAATTGGCTTCCATGCTTTGCGCAAGAAGACTGTTTCTAGAACCCTAACCCAAAACACGCTAGGCCTAACACGGATAGTATCGATGCAGGGGCTGCTACGTCAAAGTTACGCAGAACTGTTTTTTCAAAACACCGTTACAACCAGTGTACTTTACACTTAGAAGAAATAATGGTTGCTAGAGAGAATCGTAGTGAATCATAAACAAAATTAGACAATGAAATATCAATATAGCGAGACGAACTCAACGAGACAAAAACAGAGGAAGGATGAACGGTTCATATCTTCACAGTAAGATGCGCAGTTTCCCATTCCAGCAGCGTATTGTCATTCGACACAGTATGAGGATGAGCTGGGCCTAATACTCGTTGTTGCTTGACCACACAGGTTCGAAGCAAATTAATTGCTTTAGCATGCTGGCCTGTAGATTCCCACGTGAAAGCTAGGTTGGCCATGCTCGTGAGCGTTGATAGATAGTCCGCGCCGAGTTTCGTCTTGCGAGTCTCTATGACCTTCACTTGGAGCTGCTCGGTCTCTTCCCACCGGCCCTGATGACAGAACGTCGACGCAAGGCTGAGCGTACTCGTCAGCGTCGAGGGATGGTCCGCGCCGAGCTTCGTCTTGCTCGTCTCTATAACCTGCACCTCGAGCTGCTCTACCTCCTCCCATCGGCCTTGCTTTCTATACGTCGACGTTAAATGAGCTATGCTCGTCAACGTAGAGGGATGATCCGCGTCGAGATTTGTCTTGAACGTCTCCATGACCTGCATAAAGAGCTTCTCCGCCTCCTCTAATCGGCCTTGCTTTCTATACGCCGACGCTACATTACTCATGCTCGTCAGCGTATCAGGATGGTCCGCGCCGAGCTTCGTCTTACTCGTCTCCATAGCCTACATAAAGAGCAGCCCCGCCTCCTCCCATCGGCCCTGATTCCAGAGCGTCAACCCTAGATTTGACATGGTCGTCAGCGTCTCAGGATGGTCCGCGCCGAGCTTAGTCTTGAAAGTCTCCATGACCTGCATAAGGAGCTGCTCCGCCTCTTCCCATCGGCCTTGCTTTCTATACGTCCAGCCTAGACTTGACATGATCCTCAGCGTCTCAGGACAGCCCACGCCGAGTTTTCGTCTTGCTTGTCTATAAGACCTGTACAAAGAGCTGCTCCGCCTCTTCCCATCGGCCCTGGTCCCATAACGTCGATGGTAGGTTAGCCATACTTGTCAGCGTGTCGGGATGGTCCGCGCCGAGTTTTATCTTACGAGTCTCCAAGACCTACACCTCGAACTACTCGGCCTCTTCCCACCGCCCCTCTAGTCGGTAGGCTTCTGCTAACATCGCAGTGCTATCAAGGGTGTCTTTATCTTCAGCACCGCCAATCTTCATTCTTTGCTTCCTTGACATAGCTACCATATCCTCTACGACCGAAATACTGCCATATTCTATTGTATACCACGCCCCTTATAAAGTAGCGTAGCCCAGTTCCGGAGTGAAGCTTACGATTTCGGTCGATGTAATATGGCTGACCTAATATATGGAAACAATGACCGGCATCTCTCCCAATTCTCATGTTAACCGGTCGGGAATTCACTATATAGGTTCATAATAAAACGTTCTTTCCACTCCTCCTCCTAACTATACGTTTTCAGCCATATACGTACTGTTAGCTGTATAAGCCGATGTAGGCCTTGACAAGTGCAGCTGC